TTTACTGAACATTTCCAGTTTAACTATTAGAAAGTGGCAAGAAGTTGTTCTATGCTGGCACTTGGCATGGTTTGCTCTGAAGAAATCTAATGCCAGTCGTCCAATGCCCAATACTATCATAAAATTCTTGCTGTATTATATATAGCCAATGTTATGCATGATGAATACCATATGGATTCTATACTATATAGTAAATTATTTTCCAAAATAATGTAAATTTCTTTTTCAAATGACACATAACTTACATACCACAAAATTCACTTATCTGAATAATTTTTAGAAGTTTAAGGAGTTTGGGAGTCACATAGCAAACACCATAATGTATTTCCAGAATATTTCTACTTGCTTTAACGAATCCTTTATTCATATACACGGTCATTTCCCATTACAACTATACTATGAGCATAAACAAATACCAGCTGTCCCATTATCTAGGAGTTGGTATTGTGGCATATAGTCACCACCTGCAATACCGGTATCTCTTATGGGTGCTGGTTCAAGTCCCAGATGCTCCACTTCCAATACAGCTCTTTGCTAACATGCTTGGGAATAGGGCCCTTTGGCTCACAAAGGAGTCCTAGAAGAAGCTCTGAACTACTAACTTTGGCCTGACCCAGGTCTGGTAATTGTCATCATTTTAGCTGTGAACTAGCAGAGGGGAGATTTCTTTCTCTATCTCTCCCTGTCTCTGTATAACTCTTTCAAATAAACAAATCTTCAAAATGTGCAAATGTCAAAACAGCATATCATCTGTTTGTGACTTCCTGCTCTTTAAAAATATGTCAGGTAATCTTGAGAATCAAGATGACAGAATAGGGTAAGGGCATGTTTAAACGGACAGAGACACATTTAATCAGGATAAAGCAGAGAGGACACATTCCAGGAAATAGGAGAACAGAACAACAGCAGAAGGGTACCTGGAGACTGACAGACACAGGAAAGCAGTGAAAACAATGGTGTGGTGTTGCAATGACTGATATTCCAGTGGCATTCAGCTAATGGCGATCTGAACTCCACTAGAAACCAGGTGGGAAGAGACTTTCACTGGGAGCTTGGGAGGTGAACCTAGACAAAGAACTGTCTAACCTGCTGCTCTGTTTGATTTGACCAAGAGCAGAGACAGAGCAGCAGGGCATTGCAGGAACAGCCCCCTAGAGCCAAATAAGGAGCCATTTTGCATAAGGAAGCAAAGGCAGGGGAAAGGACTCAGCATACACTGAGCTGGGAGTGAACTCATTTCTGACTCAATGAACTGCATCAACGTGGCATTCTAAAAGTTCCACCCAATACAGGTCTGGGTAGCCCTCGGATCTGATGGCCAGCAGATTAAGAACTCTAGTTGTGGTACGTCAGGTGCCATTTTGTACACTATGGCAAAAGCTTTGGGACTGCAGGAGACAACAGTGAACTGCGAATGCACTGAGCTCACAAGAATTCACTGAGTTCCATGAATTGCACTGGGCCCTCAGGAAAATAATACTGGCTGTGGCATCGTACAGGTCAAAATAGGTCCGTGTAGCACCCAGACCTAATGTTCCACAGGTTCCGGCAAGATCAGCACCACCAAAACCTTAACTAGATAGGAAACCTGGTGTCTCTCTAATCCTGGGACCTCTTCCAACCGGATGTGGGAGAGAGGTCGCAGAGACAACAGTGCAACCTCATCATGGTATCACAGGAGGTGAAGACTGGTGAGCCTGGAGTTGGGGCTATGGAAACCATGGTGGAAATGTAACATAAGAACCCAGACCTGGAACTGCTGGAAGGAGTGGCACAAGTGACTGCAAGCAAAAAGTTGTGTGCCAACTGCAACAAGTAAAATCGCATTGTAGACCTGTGGGTGACACAGCTTAGAAACCTGCCCCAAGAAGAAGACTCTGCTAACCAGAAGTACAATGATCAAGAGCAAAAGAAGAGACAAAGCCACAATGAATATTACTGAGTACTCCCCTGCAAAGGAGCAAAACCCCATACCAACCTCAGAGTTAACTGAGGAAGACATTGAGAAAATGGGGGACACAGAATTCAGAAACTCATCATAAAGCTTCTGATCAACAATGAGAAGCACATACAAGAGTTCAAAGAATTTAAGAAATACGTTACACAAGAAACTGCAGCAATAAAGCAAATCGAGGGTGACATATCAGAAATTAAGAACACAGTAGAGCAAATTACAAGTACAGTGGAAAGTCTCCAAAATAGAATGAAGCAAGCAGAAAAAAGAATCTCCAAATTAGAAGATATTTCCTGTCACCAGGGGGAAACAAACAAAAAGCTGGAAGCAGAGCTGGATCCGGCCAAAAAAGTACTCAAGAATTGAAAGACACTATTAAGAGGCCAAATATAAGAATTACGGAAGTCCCAGACTGTGCAGAAAGAGAAGCTGAGTTTACGAATGCATTTAATGAAACAATAAGGGAAAATTTCCCTAATCTAGAGAAAGAATTGGGAAACAACATCCAGGAGGGGCACAGAACTCCCAACAGACTTGACCAAAAGCGATCTTCACCAAGACACATGATCATCAAGCTCTCTTCAATCGAACATAATGAAAAAGTCCTTAACTGTGCACATGAAAAAAATCAATTGACATATAAAGGAATGCCAATTAAACTCACAGAAAGTCTTTTACAGGAAACTCTACAGGCAAGAAGAGAATGGAGTGACACATTCGAGATTCTAAAAGAAAAAAAAAATGTCAGCCCAGGATAACATATCCAGCAAAGCTTTCTTTTGTCTTTGAAAATGAAATAAAATTCTTCCACAGTAAAGAAAAGTTAAAAGAATTTGCCTCTTCCAAACCTGCCCTACAAATGATACTTCTAGATGTTCTCTTCACAGAGAAAAGGAATAGCATCCAACAGAACAAAAGGCAAATGTGAAGAACATCCCAGTAAAATGACAACAGAAGACTAAATCCATGAACAATCAATTGCTAAAATGACAGGAACAAAGTACCACCCATACTTATTAACCCTGAAAGTAATTGGCTTAAGCTCAATCAAATGTCATAGATTAGTAGACTGGATTAAAAAACAAAACCCATCTATTTGCTGTCTAGAAGAGACACATTTCACCAACAAAAATCATTGGAAGCTATATCTCATGGATTTTAATGTTTTTGTCTTTGTTAGTTGCATCTCTTCAAAACACTTTCTTCTGATTAAATTATTCATTGGCTCATAGATCATACAGTAGCATCATTTTCTTCAAGAAGGTTCTTGATTTTCTTTTTCATTTCTTCAGTGACACATTAATCATTCAGTAGCACGTTATTTAACTTCATGGTGTTGTTAATTTTTTTTCTTCCAGTTGCTGATTGTTTTTTGTGCTTTTCATTTAAGGGGATGTATAGTAGCTGTGTAATGGAGACTGTCATATCTAGTAACATGTCATTCAACTTCATGGCATTGTAAACTTCTATTTTTCTTCCTGTTGCTGATTTTATATTGTGACTTTTCATTTAAGGGGATGTATAGTAACTGTAAAATGGAGACTAATATATCCAGATGTGAGGATACAATGTAGTATGTATCTCTACTTCCAGACAAAGATGGACTTACAGTGAAACTGTTTGTTGTATCTTGACAATGGATGCTGGACTCTCTGCCATTGTCCATGCCTACAATGATGGCCATATGACTGTGTATGAAGAACTATACTTTAGTAATGTTAGAGAAACTAGGTTGGGGGGAGCGAATTGGGGAAGGGATAAGGTAAATCCCAGGAGCCTATGGAACTGTAGCATAAAATGATAATAATAATGAATAATAAAATAATCACTAATAAATTTTAAAAGTCAGAGAATCAAACTTTTTAATGTATAAAACATGTTACAACTGCATTCTTATGTGATTTTTATATTTAATTAACTAAAGTAGTAAATTCAAACATATAAGCTACTGAAGAAAATATTTCTCATGCAAGCTAGTTGGATTTACTCCAGACAAAATTCCATTATTTTCTCCTCATCTTTCCCTTCTCTGACTTACACTTTTCTTAATTACCCTTATTATTTGAACATCTGATTCAGCTATGGTATTTATTCAAGCTCCTCACATTTGTCACTGCAGATGACTGATATAGCTACATAGCTATTCCTTTTAGCACTGTTGCTTTGCCTATGCTTCCAAAATCTGGTGCCATCTACCTACACTTAATTTCAATATTTCAATCTACCTATGATGGGCATATTTAGAGCTAACTCTTCTGTCAGAATGGCTCCACCTATACTATCCAATGCCCTGAACTTATCTTTATTCCCCTGCTCCATCTTCACATCTTATACTTTTCCACTTCTACTAAACCATTCTTTTTTTTTCATTTTTTAATCATCATTTTATGATACAACTCCATAGGCCCTGAGATTTCCCCTACCCTCTCCCCTAATACCCCGGCACAAGCGCTGAGTTCTCCCATATCATTACAACAGCATTTCGGGAGATCGCCCCTGGTTCTCTGCCTACCTAGCCCATATGGGAGGAGGTGGACACATGGCATACCTTAGCTAATAGACACTAACATGGCTTGTTAACTGGGCATGCAACAATAGACTACACCCCAGTCTCTTTTCCCTAGTCTTCTAAGATTGCCTTGGTAAACAACTCTAGGAAGTCAAATGTTGCATTCATCCTGCTTTTCAGCAGGTAAGGAGTCTGCCCTGAGATACAATTTCCTGTGCTTTCTGTACTTTCTGACCGTTAACTTCATTGGCGGGTCAAGAGAGATAGACATATGCTAGTCAGTCACAATGTTGTTGTACTGTTGGGACCATCCTTCTGCCTACCCACTTCTCCCATGTAAGCTTGTGACTTCTCTCAAATAAATGGACATTCTTTACCACCTGTTTGTCTCCAGTGTTTCTGCTGTAGAAGAGCAGTCGTCGCTCCCTTCGGTGGTCTTGGGGCCTGTTGGACAGAATACCCCCAAGACAGTATAGTTCTTCATATACAATCATAAGTCTATCATTGATGGCACAGACAATAGCAAAGTCCAGCAACCCAATGTCAAGACACATCCAACAGTTTCACTGGGAGTCCATCCTTGATCCAGAAGTAGAAATGCACACTGTACTGTAGCCTCACATTTGGATATATCAGTCTCCTCCTTCCATATTCTCTAGAATCGGCTCATTTGCAAAGTTAGCCTAGAATTCATAGTGAGCTACTTCAGTCTCTGATTTGTTTCTACTGGACTTTCTAAAAAATTTAAAAAGCAGGGCATCAACTTAAATTTCAATGTCAGGTAAGCAACAGGTTTTTAGGTATGGTACATTGCATTTAATATTGACAAATCCAAATTCGAGTTGTTGTCCTGTACTTCCACCTGTTCAATTTGGCAACTATAATTCCTACCTGAGAATTCCTCACTCCTTGTTTTTCCACTGTTTACATGTTTCCAGCCACTAAAATTGTGTATTTGGGTCTGTAAATGCACAGGGCACAATACAACACAAAATGTGATCTCATTAAAAAATCAACAAGGGGCTTGTGTGGCAGTGAAGCAAGCTAAGCCTCTAACTGCAGCACTGTCAAATCCCATATAAGCAAGTCCTCGTAGGTCCATTTATAATCCAGCTCCAAGTCTATTGCCTAGCAAAATAAGGAAGGCTGGTCAAAGTCCTTGGGCCTCTGCAGACATGTAGGAGACCTGAAAGAAGCTCCTGGTTTCTGGCATCAGGCCAGTCCAGCTGTGGCTGTTGCAGCCATTTCAGGAGTGACTCAGGTGATGAAAGACCTACTTGTCTCTTTCTTTCTCTGTAACTCTGCCTTTCCAGGGATAGATAGATAGATAGATAGATAGATAGATAGATAGATAGATAGATAAATAAAAGTAAATCTATGTTTAAAAGCTATTAGAAATTACAACGTGGTGTTCTCTTAGCAATTAATATCACAGATCACATGCCCATGGAGTTGACATTATAAATATTTTACTCATGAGCCGCTTAAGAGATTTTCATTCATTCACTTACTTATTGTTATATTCAACACGTATTTGTTAGATGCATTTATACCAGGCATTATTAGAAGTCCTGAGAAGAGTACTGAACAAGAGTGATTATCTTTCATATATACATTACATGTCATATAGAAAATGAGTTATCACAAAAATATAATGTATAGAATCTCTTATTCCTTCTTTTTTAAAAATATTTATTTATTCTTATTGGAAAGTCAAATATACAGAGAGGAAAAGAAACAGAGAGGAACAGCTTCCATCCAATAATTCACTCCCCAAGAGGCCACAATGGCCAGAGCTGAGCTGATTTGAAGCCAGGAACCAGGAGACTCTTCTGAGTCTCCCATGTGGGTGCTGGGTGCCAAGGCTTTGTAACATCCTCCAGTGCTTCCCCAGGCCACAAGCAGAAAGCGAGATGGGAAGTGGGGCTTCTGGGATTAGGACCAGCATCCATATGGGATCCCAGCAGGTGCAAGGTGAGGATTCCAGAAGCAAGGCTACCACGCCGTGTCCATGATTCCTTGATTGATAAAATCACTATTTGACTTAACTGTAACTGCCTTTTAAAATATCCATTTATTTATTTTAAAAATAAGAGATACAGAGAGAGGTATAGAGGCAGGAACAGAGGAGTGTTGGGGGAGAGACAGAGATCATCCACCTACTGGCTCACTCCACAAATAGCTACACAGATGAGTGCGGGGTCAGGCTGAAATCAGTACCAAGGAGCTTCCTCTGGGTCTTCCACATGGGTTACAGGTGCCCAAACACCTAGGCCATCTTCCACTGCTTTCCCAGGCACATTAGCAGAGAGCTGGATTGTGGAACAACCAGGATATGAACCGATGTCAGAACACCACTTGGGCGATTCTGACACTTCTCTACTCTCTCAGCATGCAAATTCATGTCCATTTTTTTTAATACTCAATAGATAACAGCATCTCTGTTTAATAAAGACAGCAAAAGTTGTTCCTCATCTTCAGACATCAGGAATCTGTTGGAACTTTATTTTTTTCCTTTGTTTCTTGTTTGTTTCATTTGTTTGTTTTTTATTTGGAACTCAGATTTACACAGAAAAACAGAGTGGAGGCTCATTCCAACTACCAATTCACTCCCTAATGGCTCTCATGGCCAGGACTGGGGCAGGTCAAATCAGGAACTGTTCTGGGTCTTCCACGTGGGCACATGGGCCCAAACACTTGAGTCCTTTTCTGCTGCTTTCTCAGGTACATTAGCAGGGAGCTGGACTGAAAGAGCAGCAGCCAAGACTTGGATTGCAGACAGGGGTTGCTGGTCGTGCAGGCAGGCGGCAGCTTAAAATGACAAGCCACAGCACCAGTCCCATTAGTTTCTTGTTCATTGTTCTCGGTAAGGAAGTGGTTTTTGTCCTTATTAAATATCACCCCTTGAATTTTATCAAAGATTCCTTATTTCTTTAATTTTGGGTAAACAGGAGTAAGACTACTGGATTATACTATAAATGTATCTTTTCATTAAGAAAAAAAAAATCCTGCCAAGCTGTAAACCATTTTAACAGTAATTTTGCGCCCATTTTTATGTCCCTATCAGCGGTGAGTCTCCCTTCACCTGCAGCTTTGCCAGTAGGGTGTTTCTTTTGCATTGTTTCCATTCGCCATTAAATATACATATATCAGCATACTCACTGTGGTTGTCACCTCCATTTCATTAATGGCCAATAATGCCAAATATTCTTTATCACACTTATTTCTTATTTTATGATTTCCTTATTTATTATATTTTAATGTGTTTAATACTTAAATATATGTATTATATATAACAAATATTAAATATAAAATGTAGGTAATATTTGTAATATATTACATATAGTAAATATATTCTGTCTCTCTATATATATGTATGTATATAATTAGCAATGATCTGATAGCTTCTCAGATATTTTGTATTTTTGAACTGAAGTTCCTCTTACCAGCATGCGATTCACTTTTTCTTTTAGGGTTGACTCACTGTCTCTATCTGCTTTTCACAGTAACTCCTAATTTCTATCGGTTTCCACTACCAAATTCATTATTCTAGCACTGTAATCAGCTGTGCTCATATGATGAAAGCATCTAGTTTATGGGTTGCAATTTATTTATTCCTGTCCTCCCTATTCTTAACAATTATTAATTTACTATAATTTCTATCATAGATTTTAAAATGTTCACATTTGTTTTTACATAGTATATTTTTAAAAATAATTATATGTTTGAAAGACAGTATGATAGAAGGACAGAGAGAGGGAGAGAGGTTTTCCATACTCTGATTATCTCCCCAGATGGCCACAGCAGCCAGGGCTGGATCAGACCAAGATCCGAAGCCAAGAACTCCATCTGACTCTCCCACGTGTTTGGCAGAACCTCAGTACATGAGCTGTCTGCTTCTGTTTTCCCAGGTGTATTCACAGTCAACCAGATCAGAAGAGAAGTTGGGACCAGTAATCTGATATGGGATGCTTACATTGCTATTGGTGGTCTAATCCACTTCATCATAAAGTTAGACCCCTTAGTACCACTTTTTCAAACTGTATCTAGTGAAAAATGATGAAATCTAAATATCTAAAGAATTTAACAGAAAGACTAATCCTGCTTTGGGGTAGAGATAGGCAACCTCTATAATTCCTTTTTTCTCATCTGCAAGAAGTAAATTACCCATCCCTAGAAAAACACAACAGAGAGCAGGAAACAGTGAAATGACACTACTGCTGTGTCCATGGACGTGGCCTCTGGCAGTCCAGCACTGTGAGTGACCTGAGCAGAGTGATCAGACAACTGCCTTGCCTGTTCTGTTTCATAACACGATATTAGGAAGAATCACAAAAAATAAATTACCAAGAAAACAACCAGTAAAAATTTATTTGCATAAATACTACGCTACCTCACTGATGGATGAATACTTTTTTGTCAACTGAAAGTTACTTTATTGATTTGTATCCTTCTATATCCCAGCTATGATTTGCAAAACTGATCCACTGTATTATTTTTTGCTATACAAATTGTGTATTAAGTAGTCCTTTAATAATTTAATAACTACCGATATAGGGCCAATGTTTGCACCAAGAATTGTTTGATATGCATGTATCTCAAGCTGCTAACAATTTGGCCATATAAGTATGGAAGAAACAAGATAGCAGTAATATTTCTAAGGTATATTACTGAATGGCACTATTAGAATGGGATCAATGCTCATGAATATTTATGCTCTATGTGAAGGCTTACCAAAAGGCCATTATTTCAGCACACAGTAATCCAATGAATAGGATAGCTTTTGTGAGGATGTCCATCAAACTCTTTCAGAAGTCATTCCACTGGTGTCTTATTTAGAGATTATAAACAAAAAGCCAAGGTGGCTAGCATCCAAGTTATTCATGTAATCAAAAATGCATGCTCTCCCTTAGCAACCACTTCCACTATGAGCTCTTCAGTCATGGCAGGAGCGGTGATATTTCTTCAAGGGAAAGTGTCAAAATGAAAGTGGACTGTCTTCTGTTCTGACACTCATGGCAATATGGTGATTAATAGAATAAAAATCTATTTACAGGAATATTCTCCTAATAATGCAATTTGATCTACAAGGGGAAAATGTGAGAATATCAGTTGATAACTAGATTTACTGGGATTGCCATGTATCTGCTAACTCAAAAATATCCAGTGTTGTTGAAATTCTGAGATACTGATTAGCATGTGCTAATCTTTTTCAGTGCCCCTGGAAGACACATTTAAAACTGAGATGTCCTATATGGCAGGATAGATGCTGGGATGGGAATGGCCCTCTTCCCATTACATCTAAGAAGTATCACAAAATACTTCCCAGTCCTGTGAACCAGGGTGGGGAGTGTCTGGCTCACACATTGTATAGGGCCTATGAAATCATTTGGCCAGGCTCTGCCAAGGCACCTGAAGGTAGGACTCAAAAATCAATAAATCCATAGCAGGCTAAATTTTAAGGTGATAATTTTCTACGGCCCATGAATGATGTTATAACTCTCTAAGCATCACTTAGCAGAAGAAAAGATTCCCTATCCCTGTGAGTCTAAACTTAAGATTTACTCTACATGAGCCATGGTACCCAAGGGAGGAATGCATTCCATGAGTGGAAAATAAGGCAATAAAAATGCATTTTGTTTTGTGGATATTACCTGCCTATACTTTTTTTTTGTATAAATGCTATAATTCTGAAATAATAGAAGCACCTTGGAAATAGCTTCTTTGTCATATTTTGCTTTTAATGGTGTGTAACCAGTTTTCTCCTTTAAATCAGAGATCTATTAAAATTATGCCCTAAGGTTTATCACTGGAGATATATTTTATTACAGTACAATGATAGCGACATGGGATATCATGATGTCAACAAATATCTACTAAATTCAATTCCCAGGAAATGTAGAGATATTAAACTATACAAGAAATGGAAAATTAATACAAGGGTAAAAAAAGAAGCTTTCTGATAGCTTTCTAATGATGAGTTAGAGTCCCAAATTCCATATCTTGAAAGTTTCTACTACAGAATCAATGTCTGAAAAATTATCACCTGTGGACTGGCATTGTGCCATAATAGGTAATGCTGCCAGTACTTGGCTGCTCTACTCCTGAGCCACCTCCCTACCGATGGTCTGGGAAAGGCAGCAGAAGATAGCCCAAGTGCTTGAACCCTGCCATCCACGTGGGAAACCAGTATGAAGATCCTAGTTCCTAACTTGGTCTGGCTCAGACCTGGTCATTATGGCCACCTGGGAAATGAACCAGCAGAGGAAAACTCTCTCACTGTCTCTCCCGGTCCATCTCTGTAAATCTAACCTTCAAATAAATAAATAAATCTTCTAAAAATTCATCAGAATTATTGTCAGTTCTTCTGTCCAACTAGGAACAAGGTTATATGTATATCTAACACTATTGCTTTATCAAATATTAAAATGAAGAATTTGAATGTTACCATGAATGTTACTACAACAGTAACACCTTTTATTCTCTCTGCCATTTACAATTACGGCTATATTTAGTCCACGGTATACATGATTTATATGATCTGATTCTGCATTCATCTGGTTGCCTAGTGATAGATAGTTCTCCGAATGTCTGACAGTATTTCTTGTAAGCATTAGACATAGAGTGAAGGGTACTGATGGAGCAAAAGACTTCCAAATGTCATTTTGGATCAGTGCACAGCATGAGTCAAGGGCATACAGATGGAGCACTCAGAGGAGCTATTAAATGTTTGTGTTAACATTGATAACTTGAAAGGTAATTTGAATATAGACTAGTTAACCCCCCTCTAGTTTTATCCAGCCAGTTCATGTGTAGGCTTATACCATAAAACATTTTTATATTTTCTGGGAATTGGTATAAATTATTGTGTCTTATACTAAATTTAATTATTTGGGACAAGAGTTAATATCTAATAAGTTACATTATTTTCATGACTGAAATGCATTTCACATTCTATTACAAGTCCCAGACGATCAGGACTCATTTAATGTCATGCAAACAGGTGCACACATACACATCAATGTTATAGCTGTTAACAACATACCAAGCAGAAAATATAATTGGATACTCACAATTAATACAATGATAAGAGCTTCAATGATTGCAAATCTGTGAAATGATTTCAAATTCTGAACATACATATTGAAATCTGTGCTGTAGTGAAATTCTCTATGAAATCACTTTAGTAGTGTTTCTGCCACACATCTTTGGAATTCCTTTAATAACATCACCCAAAACAAAGCTCGATCCCCCGAATCCAGGGTACTCCTTGTTGGTCATTGTTGTTGTATATCCAACCCCATAAGTATCCCCTAATCAATAACGATTTAAACAGTTAAGAACTTTGGTGCATTATTTGATGCACAGATATTCATAACTGTTATATTTCAAATGATGGCTTTTAGCATCAAAATATGTCCTTTATATTGTATTTAATAGCATTTGGCTTAAATTTGATCTCAAAATATGAATTGCAACTCCTGTCTTGTGATTTTTTTGTAGTGCACCTTTGCCCCCTCACTCTTCAGTCCTTCCAAATCACTGTGGGCTAGAAATATATTGACTAGGATGCACAACTGGGATTTGTTTTGCATTTACTTTTTTAAGATTACTTATTTTTTGGAAGATTTATTTGAAAATGGAGTTGCAGAGAGAGAGAGGGACAGAGAGACAGAAATATCTTCTATCCCCCTATTCACTCCCCCACCCCAAATGGCTATAACACCAGAGCTGGGCCAGTCTAAAGCCAGGAGTTTCTTCCTGGTCTACAGTGTAGGTGCAGAGCCCAATTTTTCATTTATTTTCCAGTTCATTAGCAGGAACTGAATTTGAAGTAGAACAACTGAAACTCAAACCTTTTGCGGTGCTGGTACCACAGGCAGTGACCTTACCTACTACGTCACAGCATTGGTCCCTTGAAATTCTTTTACATAGATTGATATGACTACTACTACAATTAGTTTTACCCTGTCATTTTGCTATAATGACGATATGCATCTCACATGTGCTATTTTTTGTCCATGCACTACATTCTATGTATTTTCTATATTAACTTTCTGGATTATTAAAGTTTCATATTTTTTTTTTTTTAAAGATTTATTTTTATTATTTTTTATTGGAAAGGCGGATATACAGAGAGGAGAGACAGAGAGGAAGATCTTCCGTCCGATGATTCACTCCCCAAGTGAGCCGCAACGGGTCGATACTATGCCGATCCGAAGCCAGGAGCCTCTTCCGGGTCTCCCACGCGGGTGCAGGTTCCCAAAGCCTTGGGCTGTCCTCGACTGCTTTCCCAGGCCACAGGCAGGGAGCTGGAAGGGAAGCGGGGCTGCCGGGATTAGAACCGGCGCCCATATGGGATCCCGGGCGTGCTAGGCGAGGACTTAACCACTTGCGCCACCGCGCCGGGCCCTAAAGTTTCATATTTTTATTTCTGAATTCTGTCTTTGATTATGCCCACATTCTTGTATTTCACTCTCTCTCCTTTTATGCTTTGGTGTTTCAATTCTAACGGTAACTTTTGGTTCTCACATGGTTTTCAAGTCATGACAGAAGTCTTTGCTCTTATCTTTCACAAGACATTTCACAGTCCTCTTTTGGTTAGAACTAAACAGCACTATGCTTGGGGTGATTCTTGAGCAGTAAAACCACCAACAAAACATCTGAAAATGTGGCATAAACACATCACAAAGATAATTATTTACAGTTTGAAGGCTTAAATTGCAGAGTGTTTTCCATCAACATCCAAAATGTTTCCCATTAACATCCATAAATGTATGTGTTGCAAGCTTCAATATAATTTTATTTCATCTTAAACTCTCACATCTTCTAGGTTTTTGCTTTTTTTGTTTGTTTGTTTTTTGTTTTTTGTTTGTTTGTTTCACTTTTGGGATTCCTACGAAACCATCATGTTTGTTGTTTTTATGGCTAAAACAATAAAACCAGATTTCTTCATCTGGTTTAATGGTTTGGGGTGGTTCGTAGTATTCTTCACTTAAAATAGTTTTGCACCTGTTGAGAAAATAAACCAACTTTTTCTTTTTAAATAAATAACTTTTAGGGGTGAGAATGGGATACTGATGTTATTGCATGTGAAATTTTTACTTGCGGTATCCTAAATTTGTCTTGCTGTATCCTAAACTTCCATTTCTTCCTTCTTTCACTGTTTACAGTCACTCTCCAGATGGAAACTCTCCCCTTTATACCTCTCTCTTCTGCAGAAGCAGAAGCACCATCTTTCTGAGATAATCTCTTGCTCTTTGCCTTTTGTTTCCCTGAAAGCAGAGACACAATTTAACAGAATCTCTTTCCGTGATGTCACATTCTTAGCATGAGCATTCAGGTTTCCAGCTCTCATTTCCATGCTCTTTGGTTCTCTTCATTTTTCCATATACTTTTGTCAGATTCCCTTACATTCTGTATGGGCTTGCAACAGAAGCACTAGAGGCAACACTATCGGAAATTGGGGTGTATTCTTCCACTTACAAATAATTTAAGCTCTGTTAAGTTTTCTGACTTCTGTGTTGGAGCTGTGGATTTTATGCTTGTTGGTATGCAAAGGCCTTCTAAAGATAATTTGCTTTAACATGGCCACCATTCTCTCAGCTGCCTAGAAATTCTGCCTAGTTGTTTCTGCCATCATTATGAATGATTTAAATTTCCTCATGCAAGATTAATAAGTCACTGATTGCTAAGTTTTTGACATTATCACTTTCAGTGATTTATCCTACATGTCATTTCAGTCATATATTAATGATTCACTCCAGGAATTACAAACATTGACTCTTTGTCTTAGTCAGAGTGGGCTGCTATAATAGGATAAAATAGACTAATTCTTCAACAAAAGACATTTGTTTTTCAGAGTTCTAGGGGCTGGCGACTCCAAGATCAATGACCTGCAGATTCCATTACTGCTTGGAGCCTTCTTCCTGGGTCACAGAAACCTGCCTTCTCTGGAGCTCCTGGGATGAGAAGATCAAAGGCTAATCCCATCAAAGGGCTCCAGACCCACAACTCGTTCTAAACCTACTAACCTTCCAAAACCTCGACTTCCAATACCATCACATTGGTTTCAACATTACTCTTTGATAGTTACTAGAATGACATTAATTACTTATGGAGCGTTATTAAGTAAACTATTCAAATGCTATATCCTCACTTACTTGTGTCTACTTTCAGAAAGAAAAACAAAACATAAAGAAATGCTAATATCTGAAAAATTACAAATTCTGCAAATTAATGCTGAAATCTTTTGTTGAGTTTATAGTGCTCAACTCTTCACAGCACAGATATCCTGATCATACTTCTGCAACATCTATGCCAGGGTAAACAGAATCTTTTGCCATGCTTAATTGTGCTTCTCTGAATTACATCATTGTACAATGTATTTGTTTTTATTTGAAAGGCATATCTTACAGAGAAAGGAGGAGAAACAGAAGTCTTCCATCTGCTGGTTCATTTCTCAAATTACCACAAAGGCTAGAACTGAGCCAATCTGCTCAGTTCCAAGGTGTTTCTCCGTCCCACTCTATCCCTCTCCTTCTCTCACTATATCTCTCATTTTCAAATAAATAATTGGATCCTTTAAAAATCTGGCAGTGCTGTGAGGGCCCAGAGAAGCCTTGTGATGCACAGGAATGATGAATGCTTTTCAGAGACAGCCTCGTAAGGGAGTTCAATCCTCAGCCAAGAAAAGAACAAGAAGGGCTTTTTTTCAGGCCAGGATGAATGAAAATACTCAAAGAAATATCAGCGGTTATTTATAGCTGATGCACATTGTAAATCTGGGAAAGTAACCAAAGGTAAAACTGGGATGCACAGCTGAGTTTCGGATCATGAAGACACCTCTACTGTGCTGAAGAATTTTGATTGCTAGATTTCATGGAGGGCAATGCCACCAGCATATGTGCTTTTTATAAAATGCATTGTAATAAGCAATGTAAGAGGTAGATTTGGAAGGCAAAGATTAAGAGGACATTGCGTGAATCTGGGTCATAAAGTGATGGAGGCTTTCAGCTGAAGCTTTTGAAATGTGAAGAGGCAAGAGACAAAGAATAAACTAGGGTAAATGCAAGCAACTGCAAGACTGGAGATTGGATTAAAAATGAAACCTGCAAAATTACTCAGGTATCTTCCAGGAGGTCATGAATGTTTATGCTAACCGCTAAAACAGAAACTGTGGTAGGTATGTGTGGTGCAAAGTTAATATACTCACTTTCTGAAAAGTTAGCATGTGATATATTTAGGTAACAACACCTTTTCCTCCAGGACACACAGATACAGCTACACTTCATTCAGACATGCAAGCTTAGAATTTTGCCATTTGAATGCCAAGGCAAATACTTCCAATTTGTCCCATGACTTGATAAAATTAGGCCTTCAAGCAGATTTACTTCCCTGACTACAGACAGAGAGGAGTGTGAAAGACAAATGGCTGACAGTTATTTAAATCCTCATATGGTTCTCATAGCCGCTATTGGACTAAGCCAAAACTAGGAACCAGGATCCCAATCTGGGTCTCCCACATGGGAGGCAGAAACTCAAGTACTTGAGTCATCATTTGCTGCTTCCCGAGTGTACTTATAGGAAGCTGATTAGAAGTGGAGGCCAAATTAAACCCAGGCACTCCATCAGGGGTGTGGCTATCCCATGTGGTGGCTTAACTCGCTGTGTTAAGCCGGCCACTGGCATCTCAAACTTGAACAAGTATACCACTCTACTATAAAATGCTAACGAGAGAAATGGGGGGTGGTGGAAAGTTTAAATTCTAAAAGAGTATATGAAAATCCTACGTACTTCCAACTCTATATTCTGTAAAACCTAAAACTCCTTCCTAAATTAAGCAAATTATTTTTAAAAGCCATCTTTTGGAGGTGTTATATACAAATGATATATTAGTCACTGTCCAGTTAATATTTTATTATTTGTGGACTATTTTATTATTGTATATTAATAAATAATATTTATACACGTGATTTTAAATTATATATAAATATCTTATTTCTACAGAAATATTTAAATATGGATAATAATTTAATATTATATTGAGGAATATTTTATTATTAGGAATAGGTAGATGGTATTATGGTCTATAAAAAGACAAAATGTAGAGTTGAAGGAATTCATCAAATACCAGTATTCAAGCGGCTTCTCCATTTTTATAAAGCCTCCTTCACAGGAGAAAAACAAATATACAGATCACAACACCCCACATTCACATCTCCACTTGCTCTTCTGATGTGTTCCCCGATCTGACTCCATACCTGTCAGAGTCTCTGGGGAGGATGCAAAACATAAAAGGTACTCTGTTCCCTACCTGATTTCTGGAAAACTTGAGACTGAAATTTTTCTTAAAAAGTAGAAATGACTCAAAAAAAAAAATCTCAAAGTATCATCTTTATGTCTAACAAAATTTAGAGTTCAAACATACGGCTTAGCTAAAAAAAACGTAGGTCTTCCTAACCCCAGAAGAAGCAGACCTAGCCCCTGATACAGCAGCTCTCAAACCAGATGCCACCTTTCTTTACCAGGCAGGGGCATGCCTGTGAGGGGACCATGCAAAGGAAGGCATGCTGCAGAGAGCTGACTCCTAACAGCAAGAGAAGACCAACACAGTAAGCTCAATTAACATTCGCATCTTTACCAATCATGTAAATTACAGCACCAACTCCAAAACAGCGCAGCTAAAGAGCAGAAGGGAAGCTGAGGCTGTTAACCAGTAAGCATCCATTTTCAAGGAAGGAGACAGTAAGAATCTGGAAGAAACATTCACTCCTCTTGCAAAAAATGTGTATTTTGCAAGAGGTACTATTGGGTCCATTTATGAAAGCTCTTCCAAAAAGCCCATGGAAAATGTATACGATTTTTTTTTTAAATGCATGGTTTGAATTTTTCTGCTCCAATAAAAACTTATAATTCAGTAACATTTGTCTATGAAATTTCAGGATCTTCTCAAATATTGGGATGCCTTTCACAATCTGTGAAGGTACGGAGTTCTTAATGTTAAAGACCACCTGCAAGAGTGAGAATACATAGGAAATACTTGTGCCAATCATAACATCTTGTCAGAAGCTTGAAGTTTAGGAAAAAGATCAGTCTGGGTTAGGGAGAAAAGAATGATGTTTTTAAACAGTAATACTTCCCAAGGTGTAACAGGAGGAATGAAGATGCATGGGTCCCTCTTTTATATCTATGTCACCAGGTATTAAACTGTGTAAGGTCTGACATGCAGTATAAGACGTGGTGTGTACTGCCATCATCCCATATGGCACTCTCCTCCATTAGCTCCTGCCCATTCCCCCAATTTTACTCTTTAGATTCTTACAGAATAGCCCAATCTGTCTCGTGACAGTAGCTTAGTTCTCCTTTCATAACCAATTGCATCTTTTGTTCTAGTCTAAAATTTGGATTGGTTTTAAGTGTTTCTTATATAGTTTCAAGTTGTTCTTCCATAACCAAAAATAAAACCAGTCTTTCTATGTTTCCTGAAGACTCTTGTCTAGAAATTAAGTACTACTATGTTTTACATAGATCGGAGAAGAGCAAATCCCACCTTCCAAATTGGATAATTCCATTACTGTAGTTCAGTAATAACCTGTGCCACCGTTTCATTGTATACTGAGTATGTGTCAGACCTTGGCCCAGCATTCCATTCGGAAAATTTGATTCAATAAGAGGTAGGACTTCTGCTGTCACATAAAGGAAAAGAATATTCAAATCAAAAGCAGTTAAGGTCATACATCTTGAAAGGAGCTGAAATTATACAGCCACTTTTATCTTACCCCAAAGCCCATGACACCAAGGGCAATGTTCAGTGCTTCTCTGTAGATTACTTGTATCTTTTCCTATTTCTTTCTTCCCTTTTGCCCTTCCCCCCCCCCCCGTCTTCTTTCTTTCCTGCTCTCCCTGTTTCCTATTTCTTTCCATTTTTTGGCAGTGATATCATGCTGTTCATTCATCTTGCCCTGAAATTAGTGGTGTGAAACTTGGCTGCATATACAAAGCCGTCCAATATTTCTCATGCTTAGGATCTACCACAGGCCAATTAACATAAATCTGAGGGTGGATCTTGTGCCCTGAAATTGTTAAAATTCTACCCTGGTGATTGCCAGGTTTTGTCAGAGTTAAAGTTTAATGACTTAAGTCACCTTCTTTATGTGCCCCTGTTAAAGCCGCTGTTCCTCGTTTTATTTCTGGCTAGTTGATTTGAAGATGCAAAGGCAAGACCTATAATGTGTCACAATTAAGTTTTATCTTAGTGGATTTGGTCCGTTATTCTAGCCTGCCAAGAGAACTTTATTGAACATGATTGTGTCACCTCGCATATTTATTGAGGTTCCCAGTTTCATGGCATGTAAAAATGTCACAAGCATGCCTTTGATATTTCCATCTAAATCTTAGAAGCAAATCAATGAACAGAAAACAGCCTTGCAGCATGTCAGCTTGACAACCTTAGACTCAGGCATCCAAATGCAAATTACATAATTATGCTTGCCTTTGGTTCAGTTCCTCATTTGTTCATAGGAATGCCACTAATGACCTTTAACAAGACTTGGCAAAATACAAATATCCAATCTGTCTCATGTTTCTCTGCTCTACCAATTCACAAAGAATCACTGCACTCCTGCCATGTCTTATTTTTAGTCACAGAATATGTGCCATTAAGGAAGTATTGAAACAAGCTAAATGAGAAGTGGGAACTGATTGGTTGGTTCACTACCAAAGTGGCTACAATGGCTGGAGCTGGGTCAGTCTGAAGCCAGGAAGCAGGGGCTTCTATCTGGTCTCCCATGTAGATTCAGGGGACCAAAGACATGAGCCATACTCTACTGCTTTCCCAGGCCATTAGCCGCGAGCTTGATGGGAAGTGGAGCAGCCAGAATTGAAACAGGTACCCATATGGGAAGCTGGCAAGAAAGAAAGTGGCTCAGTTATTTTAATCTGCTGCCCCATAGCACCAGCTCCTCCCTTCTCATATTTTATATAATAAAAACCAGTTACATTGTGAGTATGTGACTTCAGGCTAGCACTGTGGGTGGGTAAACCTCTACTTGCTGTGCCAGCATCCCATATGGGTGGCTCCATTTCTGATCCAGTTCCAGGCTTACCCCTGGGAAAGCAGTAAAGAAAGGCTCAAATCCTTGGCCTCTACATGCGGTCATGTAGGACACCTAGAAGAAACTCCTGGCTCCCAGCTTCACACCAGCCCAGCTCTGGCTAGCTATTGTGGTCATCTGGAGAGTGAACCAGCAGAAGGAGGTTTTCTCTCTCTCCTTCTCTCTCCATAGTCTGTCTTTCAAATATAAATAAACAGATTTTTAAAAATTACCTGTGACTAGTGAATTGCAATCCAGCTTAAAGATGTGGGGAGGCCAGAGGATTTAGAAAGGGGGACTTTCAGCTAACAAGGAGGCCCACCCAACCGATGCTGCTTCCATTCACAGGGTCTCCACTCAGACTGAACAGCGGCATAATTATCAGTCACATCAACTTCTCATTTCATTTCAAACCTCCTTTGCAGCTGACCCTGTCCGTTACAAAGCCCTCTTACTAGATGATCGGGCAGAAATAACATGTTTTAGGTCGAGATTGTTCTTTCCCCAAGATGTCAGCTTCTTAAGACACATGCTTTCTTCTCAGCACCACTTGCTGTTGGTGAATTGGCCATTGAAGCAGCAAAGGCCTGATCCACTGAGCAGTAGCAGTCCGACAATGGGCTCTGCTCACGTCTTACCTACATTCAGTTCTGGACTCCGTGCCAAAGGGACCTGTATCTCAAAGCATTGTCACATGCTCTCCCTTGAGCCTTTTCTAATTCTTCACATGAACTTCACTCAAGCCCTGTAGCTGCACAAATGCCACAACCTTAAACAGCCCGGAAAGAAACAGACTTACCTCTGTGACTGTCTCTCAACTTTCCTCATAAAAATTACTGCTTCCTGATTTGTGTCATACAGTTAAATAAAAATATCTAAAAATAACAATTTTGTATTATTGATAAAAAAATTAGTATTCGCCTTCAGTTGAGTCTATGCATGCATCAGATAGGATGGTTACTTCTTCAGACCAATCAGAGAGAGTGCCAGGGTACACTCAGACTGGGGGAAGCAGAGTGGCAAGATTTATGAAGAGAAGGCACCTCGCAGGCCAGGCAGCATCTCAGCAAAGAACGAGAGCCTGCATTGCATTCAAATCAAAGCTTATAAGCATTTGGGGTCCTCCTTCTTCTCACTCTTTCCATTTTCCCTTCCCCTTAGATTCTTCTCCAAGAGAAAAGGGTTC